CTAGGTGTACATTAATTAAGATGGTGGGGTATGATTAGGTTAGAGAATTTTGTTACAATATGTTAGGATTTAATAAAATGTTTGGTTAAGGTATAGCAGGACTCAAGTTTCACTATATAAACTGGGGTCCAAGAAGGAGTCCAGCAGAAGGAACATAAGAATAATAAGAAGGAAAGGCCTGGAAGAAGAACTCACCTGTAAGACACAGACTAAGATCAAAGCTGCTAAGAATCCTCTGAACGACTGTGACGTGCAGAATCCAGATGAGACTGACCTTGCCTGGTCATCAGGGAAAGTCCACCTGCCTGATCAGGATTGGTGAGTATAGCATTGTATGCTTAGCACATGTATTCTGCTTGGTAATTGTTAATAAATAGAGGATAAGGATATTACTGTGTAAGGCTCTTTCACAGGTAAAAGGTCCTGCAGACCCACAAAGAGTACGCCCTGAGCCCTAGAAATTGGATAAGGGGTGTGTGTGTCTAAATTAAGAGGATTACACCTTGAGCCCTAGGAACTGGGTAAAGGATGGTGCCCCCTAGTGTGTGTGAGTAACACAGAATTTTGTGCGTGTAACAATGCAGCCCAGAACCAAAGGGCTACTGCTTTGACTTTGGCCATTGTCTGTTGAGGCCCAGGACAGTTAGGTAGACTAATTGCGGTGTCAGCATACTCACAATCCCCCCCAGAGGGGGACAGGGTGTACATACACCACCACACCATCCAGCTCCATCATGGTGCCGCCCTCCAGCCTTGGACGCCTCGTTCACATCCTATTGCTGTGCCGGCGCCCCCTCCAGTCTCTGACCCCTAGCTCTTTTTATATTTTCTTTCAACATACTGTAATTGAATCCTGAACTCTCATTCTGACTCTTCTTCATGCTGGTACTCATGTCTGACCCCATGAAACCAACCCCTTCAGATGTCACTAATGACCTCTGACTTCCACAGGCCATCTGATGTTGGACCTCAGACCCTCCACACCACTTCAGCATGCTGACAACTGACCTCTGACCCTCTTCATGCAAACACCTTCATTATGCACATCCTGAACCCCCCACACCTTGCTCCTGCCCCTTGGCCATGCTCCTCCTGACCCCGATTTCCTTGCTCATGCCCCTTGGACATGCTGCCCTCCCTAACCCTGATCTTCCTCTTTGTACACATTTCCCTTCATGCTTTGCAGAATGGCTGATGCTGTCATATTTGTCCTGCTAGCTGGACAAAAAGCTCTGAGAGGCTGAAAGACAGCAGCCGCCCGTTTTAACCTCCTGGTGTAAGATGAGACCAGCCTGAAATCATCCTCCAAAGAGGGTACCATTTCAGTTGGAAATACCCTCTCAAGGGAGAAGGCGTGTGTCTCTCTCCATTTGTTTATCCCTCACACCAGTTGGTATGAAGGTCATCCAGTTAACTTTCCTACTGACACGCATAGGACAGTCCCACGTGATTTCCAAATGGTGCATTGCCCTGTCTGGCTCGGCTTCTGTAGAGAAGACATTTCCTCTAGCAAATGGAGCACTAGACCCTTCTCCCCTCCCCAGTGCCCAGTGGCCCTTCAAGCCATGAACTCTGAATGGAGCTTCCCCGTGTGGCTTAGCCAGCCTCTGATGGAAGAGGGGCCCAGCATTGCCCTTCCTTGACACATTCAGCCATTTATTAGTGCTGCTTCACTCTGCCTTTTGCAAGAGTCACTGGAGGCTGCTGGCAGCTTGTCCTCAGGCCCTGCCTTAGGTCCCTTCGCCCCCGACCCCAAAAGACTCCTGGCACCAACAGTGGTGTCAGGAGTCTCCTGCCCCTGCATATCAGGAGAGCACAAGTCACCTGCTGTGGGTCATTGGGCCCGTGAGCAAAGGGCATTGTGCTGACTATCAGCGAGCATGCATCACTCAGCCAGCAGAGCCAAGCCAGGGAAGTTGGAACTGCCTACTTTCCCTAGGGGGAGAGGACATCGGGATCGGCTTCCCTTTGGCTTTTTATGGAAGGCCACTGAAGTAGTCACTGGGCACTGGGCAGAGGAGAAGCTCTCTCTCTCTGCCAATATGGATTGTAAAGAGGCAAGGGGTAGGGGCACTTGCCTGAGAGCAAGGAGACCTGGACTCTGATCTTGCTCTGCTATTGGCTCATGGGGTGACTTTGAGTGAGACCCTGTCCTCTCTCTTTCCTCAAATTGATATTAATGTAAGAGGCCAGTGTTGCCATGGATGGACACCCCCCTCTCTGCATAGACACAGTGCTGTGGTGTGGAGCCATAAAGTAGGGGGCCACTAATGCTCATGTTGCCAGGAACCTGTTGGGCTGCATTAACTAAGAGGGGAGGAGTAAGGGGGCAGGAGAGAGACTCTCCCCAGGACCCCTCTTTTCTCCCTTTCCACTGTGAACCCTAAGGACCCCTTTAGTCCAACTGCCACAGGACATACCCAGGGGTGGTGAGTTATATGGACCCGTGGTGCCCAGGCTCCAGCGATATTCAGGGCCCCAGCTCCACCAATGGTCAGAGCTGGGTCTCTCCCCGGCCCCCACCTGCTGCCCCCATGTGCCTCCTCTGGGCCCCGGAATGTCCCTGCCTCAAGCGGGCGGCTGCCCCTTGCAGCTCTGCGCTGCGCTCTGCTCTGCCGGCTCCCAGCATCAACTGCTGCCGCAGGGTACTAGTGCCAGGGCAGGCTGACTCTGACCCTACCCTTCCGCCTCGGACCCTTCCCTTTTCCGGCGGGACCCTCCACCAGCACAGGGGGCTCCCCTGCCCGCAGTCATGACTCCTGCCCCACGCTGCGCAAGGAGCAGCCCCATCCCCCACCCCCCCGTGAGGCTACAGTGAGGGGCAGCAGCAGGGGAGGAGGCGCACACATGATGGCAGCCCTCCCCCCACCCTGACACCCACCACAAGTGGGGGCTTCCTGGAACTGAGAGGGGCCCTAGGAGCACGTGCAGTGACAGTGGCGTGAGGTGAGTGTGCTGCTGGGGGGAAAGGGAGGCCTCTCCCCTGGAGCTTGCTGCTGCCAGTGGGGAGAGGGCTGGGGGGAGTCCTCCTCTTTGGCCCCAGCCCCGGGGCAGCCTGCCTCCGCCCCAAACTCCTCATCCCCAGCCCTGCCCCATCCCAGAGCCCACCTCCCCAGCTAGAGCCCTCACCCCCCTACACTCCAACCCTCTGCCCCAGCCCTGATCCCTCTCCTGCACCGTGAACCTCTCTGCCCCAGCGCCACCCCCACAGCTCTCTCCCCTGCACCCCAACCCTTTTTTACATTATTTTTAAAATTATATATTGGCTTACAAGGCAGGTGTGGTGGGGCAGGACTTGGACCCATTCTGGGCACCACCAAAAATTATACAAACCTGCCACCCCTGCACAAACCCTTGTATCCAAACAGTACCGCCTATGGTATCGTGTAAAATCGCATGACCTGCTGGTGCCGGCGCTCAGTGTGTGATGCATGGACAGGCTGCAGATAAAGAGCTGTGTATGTGGGCTGGAAACAGCTTCTTAAAATATGTCCTGGAGGCAGCTGCTAAACAAGCCTGCCCTTGGGAAAGGGAGGTAGATTTACCTGGTGGCATGGCTTGATTACAAGCAAAGGGCAATGGAAATACATTGATGGCTCAGGGAAACAAAGTAATTGAGCCAATCAGAAAAGCAAATTGGGCAGGGGATGAGGATGACAGCATGGCATTTGCATGCCACCGGGGGAGAAGCACTCTGTCTGCGCTGTGCACTTGGAAGGAATATATTGCAAAGGTTTCGTGGACGATAAAAAGCAGTGGAGAGAAGCCCTTAGTTACCCATCACTTAGAGCAGCGGTTCTCAAACTTTAGCAACCCAAGGACCCCCATTTTGATTTTAAAATTTTTGCGGGCCCCCAAAATCCCCCCACTCAGCCCCAGGTCCTGCCCCCACTCCACCCCTTCCCCCAAGGTCCCACCCCGTCTCTTCCCGCCACCACTCCTCCCCTGCCCCTCCTCTTCCCTGCCTCTTCCCCCCCTTCCCTGATTGCACCCATCCCCCAAGTGCACCCCATCCCTGCTCCTCCCCCTCTCTCCCAGCACCTCCTACACACCACAGAACAGCTGTTTCCCGGTGTGCAGGAGGCACTGGGAAGGACGGGGAGGAGTTGATCAGCGGGGACCGCGGACCCCCTGGAGTACCAATTTGAGAAACGCTGACTTAGAGAACAAAGGGGTCAGAACCCTCTGATCCTGTGAACGGTGGAGCCTTCTGCCTCAGGGCCAGGCGATGCTGACAGCTTGATGGAAATGAGAAACCTGCTTAGGAAAAGATTATAGCTTGCTAAAGTTAAGCTGTAGTCACTAGAAAGACTGGTTTTTGTTTGTAACCAGACCTGTCTTTTTCTCTTGCTTAGTATCACTTAAATCTCTGCTCTTTATTAATAAATTTATTCTTAGTTTTACTATAAACTGCCTCTGTGCTGTGGATTAAGATGAAGTGAGTGTCCGCGGCTGGGCTAACGGGCTAGTGGGGTGTACTGTTTCTTTGCAGGCAGTGAAACTTCTCATTTCTGTGAGTGTCCAGTGAGAGGGACTGGCCACTGCTTGGGACATTGCTAGGGAACTCAGGAGCTGGGGTTTGTTGACAGATACTGCAAGGCGAGGCTTCGACTGGCAGAGTCGCGAGGAGCCGGTGGTAAGGCAGGCTGGCATGGCGGCGGGCTGACACACAGTTCAAGCACCAGCAAAGCTCTCCCTTGCTAAGGCAGAGAAGTAACACAGAGGCTTACGGTTCTGGGCTCCCTGAGGAGAGCGTCACAAACAATAACTGCTAAGGCTGACAGAAATGTGGTGGAGACACAGTGCAGGAGGGAACATCTTTTATTGGATCAGTTTCTATTGGTTGAAGGAACAAGCTTTCGAGCTACACACCTTCCACCAACAGAAGTTGGTCCAATAAAACATATTACCTCACCCTCCTTGTCTCTTTCAGAACCTAGGGCCAACCTGGCTACAGCACCAGTGCAGACAGACATGTGGTGGTCAGTCTCACCAAGTACCTGCCCACGGAGAAGACCGTGGTCTCTCTAGGGTGCATCTTGCCTTTGCCGTCCTTGGATCTGCCTTGGCGGTGCAGTGGGGGCCTCTTCCTCTTGCTGCAGTGAATACATGGTGCCTGTGTGGAGCCAAGGTGCACTGTGTGGTGATGTGGCAGGCCCCCATCCTGGCTGTTACGATGTGGACAAAGGCTGCAGTAGGAGACCAAACAAAGAGACAGTCAGTTCCTTTCACCTGGGGGACTCCATTCCTTGCTTCGGCCTGGCTTCAGGTCATTGTACTCTGAGAGGCAGCAGCTCTTGAGGAAATGCTCCTTTATCTCACAGCATGAGAGTAACAGGATGGAGGCAGGGAAGGCATGCGCCAGCTTGCCGGCAGGGCAGCATCCACATGGAGTCAAAGAAATGAGGCCCCCATATACTGGAGGATCTGGCTCCTCCACGGCTGAGCCATAAGGCCTCAATCTCTCCTCATCCTCATCAATGGCAAGATACTTTCCAGTCAGGCACTGAGTCTGAGTGGGACTGGCCAAGGAGCTGGAGCGAACTCAGAGGGCCTCAGAATGGAGTGCCTCCCATGGCATGACTGATCCCTAAGATCTTTGTGTGATGGGCTCTGAAAGAGTTAACTGGAGCTTGAAAGGCCAATTAGCTCATCAGGTTACATCAGAAGGGGACACTAAGCTCAGTTAAGGATGATTCTCGGTGGGAGGAGCTGGCTGATAAGTTTAAAGAGAGGAAGTCTGGGGCAGAAAGGGGCTTCAGAGGGAAACTCTGTAGTCCCTCTCTTGGCAGTAGAGAGACCAGAGACTGGTGGGGACCAGAAGGAAGCCTGGGGGAGAATTGGCCCAGGGATCCTGTCCTGAGTGGAGAAGTCTGGCAAAAGGCCAGGAGAGACACGGAGCAGCCAGCAGGGTGGAGCAGGCTGTGGCGGTGAACCGTGGTAAAAGGGCAGGGTCTGGGGGAGAGAGCCCTGGAAGGTATTTAGTGGAGGAGCAGTGCAAGGGAAGGAGAAGGATGAAAGGTGAAGCTCGTAGAGGGCAGAGGTTGGTTTTGGTTTGGGATTTATTGGTGGATTCCAGGGGAGGGGCTTGTGAGTCCTGGCCCTGAAAGAAGGGTGAATGTAGAGAGGCTGATGGAGCAGATCTGGGCTGCTGGTTATAGGTCCCTGGACTGGAACCCAGCGTACAGAGCAGGCCTGGGTTCCCTGCCAGTCACCAGGGAAGGTGGTGTGAAGCCCCATGATATAAGGGGATAAGGACTTTTGAGAGACCTGAGATAAGAGGACGCAAGGCGCATGGGGCCCAGAATTGGGGCGAAAGGCCTGATGTAAGGACGTTGGACTTCTGTGGTATGGGACTTCCTGCTACACAGGAGGGTGGGGATACTTGTAACCTGGCTGGAGGGCCGAGGCATGAGAAGAAGCAGATCACCACAGCACTGGAGTGGCTGCCAGCAGAGGCTGCTAGAGCAGAAAAAGCTTCTATGCTGCACCCAGTCGACTCCTGCACACCTTACAAGAGTCACAGAATGGTGGATGCATGCCTCACCTGAGCATGGGCACTGGCACATCCCCTTCACCATCCCCCAGCATCTCCTTCAGGGCCTCCACATTTGCTGGCAAAGAGAAGAAAAAGAAAATGCGTGAGGGAGCCAGGTGCTTGGGAAAGCCCCCCGAGCTGGAGCCAGGAAACACCCACCTTCATTCTGAATGATACATCTCACTATCTTCTCCACTGTGTCCTCATTCAGCTCCTCCTCTTCGTCTGGAAGGAGAGAAAGTGGCAGCAGGTGAAGGAATTCAGGCAGTCACCTGGTGAGGAGACCATCCACAGCCAGCCCCAGCTCTGAAGTACAGCAGAGTAAAGGCCAGTGGTCCTCAGTTATATATGGAGAGCCCTGAAAGCAGAGCTCCCCTGCCACCGTACCCTGGGGTTGACATCCCACGTGTCTGGGCATTCTCTTCCACCTTCCAGCCTCAATGCTACAGGAACCCCCTAGCAGCACCAGGAACTAGATGCTCTGGTACTTCGTTCTCCTCTGCAGCGGGGAGGGAGCAGGGGAGAGAATCTTCACATCCCCCTCTTACAAGACATGTGGTGGTAGGAGCTTCAGCCCAGATCCTCAAAAGTACTTAAGCCCTCCCTCTCCCCCACCAGTCTAAATATCTTTGAGGATCTGGGCCTTCATGCCTATGGCCAAGGAGGCAGATGGAGGTGGAATACTCATCTCTAATTTCATCCTATGGGGAACAGTGGCTCCCTGTGGCAGTGGCTCCTAACCCCACTGGAGTTCAAAAGGCAGGAATGTCACAGTGTCCAAGAGAAACAACTTCAGATACAATCCCGGAACCCAGCCCCCCTGCGACATGCACACTTCACTGTCGATCACGCTCCTGGCTTTTCAGTGTGCTGGGGACCAGGGCAGGCAGCTACAGGGCATCACTGAAGCCCAGCACAGGAAGCGGGACTTCTTCTTCCTTAAGTCAAGGGGAACATGGTGTCAGATGCTTTGGCCTTGGGCCCAGCCTGCCCCATCTTCCCCACCTAGAGTGAGGAAGGGTTGTTATGTTCCTAGTGTGTACACACACACACACACACACACACACACACACACACACAGAGTAACGTTAAACTAAACAAACTAATG